CCTCCTCCTCCTCCTCCTCCTCCTCCTCCTCCCTCCTCCTCCTCCTCCTCCTCCTCCTCCTCCTCCTCCTCCTCCTCCTCATCATCATCATCATCATCATCATCATCATCATCATCATCACATAGAAGCCCTGATGCTTATCAAATTGATGGTGGAACTTCTAGCCGTAGTCAGCCGGTTGCACGTCTGTCTGTGTCAACTCTGGCTGTGGTGGTGATGCCCGGTCCACAGTCTCGGTGGCCCTTCCTCTCTGTGAGTCTATCTCTAGATGCTTGATCAGTGGTAAAACTACACACAAAGGAGGAACACACACCTGTGGGAACTGATCGTAAATCCGACAAGAAAATTAGTGCTCGTGAAAAAAACAAGCATACCTTCCCACTTTTAAGCCGTGTCTGATTGCAGTAGACTGCTGAAGGACGGTTTAGCCAATATTTGTAATTCTTCATTTTCTACCGCCATTTAATAACCCGTGGGGGATACTTCTCAACACAATGATGGGTAAGTGTAGCTTTAAAACACGGTGTCCAATTCAGCATACTTTCCTTCTCCCCCTCACCCCAACGAAAAGGCTACAGTTCAATCGTTGGTTTTGTCACGAAATCTACCAGCGGTTAGCCACATCGTTTCGCCTCAGCTTAAAGCCTGTGACATTATGCTTCTTTGCTACTTTGTGGGCATTCTCTCTGTCGCCGACCCTCCGCTCTCCGCTAATTCATTGCATTGCACTCTTGGTGGCTTATGCATTCACCTTTTGCGTAGTTTACCTTTCTTCTTCTGCCTCTAATTCTCACCATGGGGACAAAATTGAACTAGAGAGCTTTGTAGAATAAAAAATCCGCTCCAAGTAAGGAATAACTGAGAACCACTAAAATTTTTTGCGCTTTTTGTTTGATGATTGCCGTGAAAAGGGGAGTTAAGAGACGAAACTTGATATTTCCTTCTACTCTCCTCCCCTCCTTCCTTTCCCTTTTATTCCTCCTTTGGAATGAAAAGGCGATTATTTCACAACAAACTGGACAATGGGAAGCAAAAATATTTGTGCTACATTTATTCTTTCGCCCTTGGAGAATGAGGTAAGCAATCTGCTCAGGTCTATGCCGTGCTATAAAATT